CTAAATTAAACCTTCCCGTAAATACAATTTATTGACTAATTAAAAAGAAACAGAAAAGAAGTCTGGTTCAGTGAGCTGAAAAAGTTAGTGGGCTTATCTCTGATTCAAGCCCATTAGGGTTCGTATTTTCTTCCCCTTTCTGGTAACTCGATCAAGTCAGAGAGATGAGCATGAGACTTCTGGAGTTTGTAGCTTGAAGAATCTCGCGGCAATGAAGAAATTTAGTCAGAGAGATGAGCATGAGACTGATAAAACGAATAGCTCCAAGTCGACGGAGACGAATAGGAAGAAGAACATGAAGAGATTAGGAGGCGGTGGTCTTTCTCTCCAAACTTTTGCTAATTTGAAATCGGAAAACGGTCGCTATAACCCTGCTTTGATCAGTAAGAGATTCTTCTCTTCTAATTCAATTCGAAAAAAGTTTCCATTTACTGTTGGAGGATTAGGAAGATGTTGTTCTCAGCTGGACTGTAACTGGGTTTGTCTCTGTGATGCGTGTACGATGCTTAGAAGAAAGTAGAAGATTCAAATTAGTTCTTGACTATGTTTCCTTTGGTGTTACTGTTAGGAATCAGAAGAAAGCTATATTTTGAGTTACTTAAAGTGGTGTACTAAGATTGAATGAGTTTTCTTTTGCACTGTTCTCTAACTTCTCCTTGTTGATTTATCTGTTCAGAAAAGAAAAAAGAGTTCTACAAGAATGCAAAGTATGTGAGCAAGTTTAGGAAGTCGGTGAAACAGCATAGCTTGTATGATAAGAATGGAACTGGAGAGAGTAGTAAGGAAAATGGTGATGGTGATGATAAGGAGAAGGTTAAATCTAACAAGAGAATTAGTATGGAAGAGGTGTGCATGCAGAAACGAGAGGAGATGGAGAAAGTTAGGAAGGAGAGAGAGGTGACGATAAAGGCTAAGAAGGAAGCGAAAGAAGAGGCCGAAGCTCGGAGGAAAGTAACAAGAGGGAATATGATGAGAAAGACTCGACATGGTCAACCTGTAATGAAATACAGAATAGAGCATCTTCTCGAATCAATCAAGAAATCTGCTGGAAACGATGGAAGCAGAACCGCATGACGAGCTTTCAACTCGGATACACTGGTCTAGTTCCTGCCAAAGATGTTACTACTGGTTCGTATTGCTGTTTGTGATGGTTTGAGGTAACATTTGTAGTTTTCGGCTAGGCTTTGCAAGTACTATTAGCACATTGTTTTGCTTTCTGTTTATCTCATGATTTTGGCTGTTTCGTTACAAAACTAATGAA